GCCTGCGCCTTTGGTGCTGCTATCCCTGAGGGTCTCCTGCCCCAGTTGGATGGACGCATTGTTGGCGGCACTCCCACCAGCATCGGCAGCTTCCCCTGGCAAATCTCCCTGCAGCGTAATGGCGGCCACTCCTGCGGTGGTTCCATCTACAACTCCAGGATCATCGTGACCGCCGCTCACTGTCTGCAGGGCGTGTCCGCTTCCAGCTTGAAGGTGCGTGCCGGTTCCACCTACTGGAACTCTGGTGGCTCCCTCATCCAGGTCGCTGCCTTCAGGAACCACGAGGGCTACAACCCCAACACCATGGTCAACGACATCGCTGTCATCCGCCTGAGCTCTGCCCTGTCCTTCAGCTCCAACATCAAGGCTATCGGTCTGGCTTCTTCTAATCCTGCCAACGGTGCTTCCGCTTCCGTCTCTGGCTGGGGCACCCAGTCATCTGGATCCAGCTCCATCCCCTCCCAGCTGCAGTACGTCAATGTGAACATTGTCAGCCAGTCCCGTTGCGCCTCCAGTGCCTACGGCTATGGTAGCCAGATCAAGAACACCATGATCTGCGCCGCTGCCTCCGGCAAGGATGCCTGCCAGGGTGACTCTGGCGGCCCATTGGTCTCTGGTGGTGTCCTCGTCGGTGTTGTCTCCTGGGGTACTGGCTGTGCCTACAGCAACTATCCCGGTGTCTATGCTGACGTCGCTGTCCTCCGCTCCTGGGTGGTCAACGCAGCCAACTCTGTCTAAGAACTTTGATCAATAAAACCCGTCTAAACACATACACTTTTGTTTGTTTTTATTATTTTGATTATGAGCATCCTATCTGAGCTAACTGAACTACTGAAAATTTCCCTAAATGTTTAGGATCCCTTGGATCCCACTCTAGTAAAGGTTCTGTTTACAGCTCCATAATCTTAGCTGCTGCTTCCTGCTTGCAGCAAGTGTCTGCCTCCTAACTCATTCTTTAGATTCCATTATACTATTCTCTTGGCATCCCTCTTTCCCAATTGCAAGATCAATGGTATAGGTCTAGCCTGCTGCACGGAAGTAACTCTGCTGGCCCATTGTCTCGGGTAAATATATAAACTAAGACTATGTTCGAATCGGTTTAGAATTAATGCTTTATTAGCAACAGTTTAGGCCTACTGCTCACGAGCCGCTGAGTTCCAGAGGCGGCTCTTGGTCTTGACATTGGCCTTATCTTGCTTGCTGATGGGGCGCAGATGCGCTGCATCAACAATATCTCTGCGGGAGACAAACTTTAGTTGGATTACTTTGAGGTGTAACTGGGCTTCGAGGAGTACTCACTTGAACTCTTCGTAGGTCTCGGTGTTTGTTACTGCCCTCAGCTTAGCATCGTTGCGCAAATTGTGGAGCTCCTCCTTGCGCAAAAGCTCAAGACAGTCGTCCGCCAGGCGATGCAGCTCCTCGGGTGTTATGTCTAGGGAATCAGACATCTGGCTGAGTAAATGTCAAAATATTTACAAATACAAAATGCGATAGCTAATCGAAGCGAGTTTGTTTGTTTGGCAACGGTTGCCCGGGCGACTAGTTCGGTCTTGATAAGCCATTAACTAGCGATTAACGTTTACAGCTTGTGATTATGCGTTAGAACAAGGTGCATTCAGTTACCACTCGCCTTCCATGTGTGTTCTCCGCCATGGCCTCCAGCTCCGTTCTCATACTTTTGCCGCTGGTCGGCTATTTCCTTGGCGGACTCGCATTGCCGACGAGCCCGGATCTGGGCCTCAGTCGCATTGTTGGCGGCGATAACCTCGCTATACATAACGCACCCTGGCAGGTCTCCATACAGCTGAGCGCACGACACATTTGCGGTGGAGTCATTTACAGCAGGGACATCATCATTACAGCTGCCCACTGCGTGCAGCACAAATCCGTAACGCTGCTACAGGTGCGCGTAGGCGCCAATCAACACAATTCGGGCGGCTCGCTTTACCCAATCGCCAGCTACAAGATTCACGAATCATACGATGACCAGCTGCTGCACTACGATATTGCACTTCTGCGGGTGGCCACGCAGCTCAGCTACAGTCTGTCCGTCAAGGCGATTGCATTGGCCAGCACGAGTGCTGCAGCAGGCGGCAGCGTTTCCGTCAGTGGCTGGGGTTACACCGGACAGAATGGATCCACTAGTTACGCCAGCAGCCTTCAGTTGGTGCAGCTGCAGGTTATTGATCGAGCCGAATGCGCATCCGCCAAATACGGCTATGGCTGGGATTTTGTGGGCGTTGAAATGATTTGTGCAGCAGCTGCTAATAAAGATGCTTGCACTGGCGACTCAGGAGGTCCCATGGTGTCTCAAGGACTGCTGGCAGGTATCGTGAGCTGGGGCTATGGTTGTGCGCAGACGAATTATCCGGGTGTTTACGTTGATGTGGCTGTATTGAGGCATTGGATAGTTAAGACCGCAAATGACTTGTGAAATAAATAAATTCCAGGCAGCCAATTAAAATATATGACTCCAACTAAAGTAAATGCAATATATGTATAGAAATAAATATCAGTTAAAATTCTTTTAAACTCAAAAGGCATTCGCGCATTTCATCGAATTCGCCGCAAATCTTTGCCTTAAATTGTATGTTTCGGTATTTTTTAGTACATATTGTTTAGTATTCTGCCAATGAAATTACATATTCACAGGAGAGTGACAAACAATATAATAAAATAATAAAAAAAGGAATCACTTTAAATTGTAATTGTTCGCCCCCCAGGTGGAATCGAACCACTTCGACGTTAATCGACTACGGATTTGAAGTCCGCACCCCGGACCACCGAAGCTCAGTGGGGCAGTTTCTCACTACAACTAGTTGTATTTAAACGAACTACTGCCACAAAAAGCACTTGGGAATTCTAAACGTCATACCACTTATCGACACAGAATATCGCCGATTTTATCTACAAAATTAACCCATAAAACCTTTTATTTAGTGTAAGAACATGGCGCAAAACTCCATTTGGAATGATTAATATTAATGAAAAATTATCAAACATATTAGTAGTGCAAAAATACAAGGCATATTTAAATTAAGGTCGCTCTCAAAGCAATCAAATACAACTTATAACCAGTACGAATTACTCATTTGCGTGGCTGTTGTATGTGTATCTGGGGCTTCTGCTGCACCGCCACCGGCGGCTTGTGCGAATGAGCCACCTGTGCTCCAGCAGGCGTAAAATCTGTGTTACCTTTAACAGGTGCGCCGCTTACTGAGGCCGAATTAACATTGACTGGTTGCTGTAACAAAAACCTTTATAAGTAATACATTATATAAAATTAAAATTAAAGTATTTACCGTTAGACCCGTGCAATCTTCGGCGTCCTTAGCTGGTCGCTCAGAAGCAGGCGCCTTATGCTGCACAATGCGCATCCCACCAGCCTTCACTAGAAATACATATTAATACGTCATCAGAAGTTTTTAGATTTCGATCAACGCCCGAAAGACATGCCAACACTTACACACATGTATGTGCATGTACATATGTATGTATATGGGCGCTTTATCAGCAATCGCCTCTTCAAGAGGCGAGCTGTGATAAGAACAATGATATTCAGGTCAATATAAAATTCACTCATCAATTTAATGACTCCAAATTCGCAATTGGCTAATAAACTCTTACACAAAATTTATAAAAATCCAGCATAATTTCATTAAAAGCTTCAGCATCTTTCACACACACGACACGCGCATACCCATACACATGCAATGGAAGAGAAACTGTAAATGCACTTACATGCAGGTGGGTGTCCAGCTACTAGATTTGGTTGTTCCTCAGCCATGTTTTAAGCAAATTACAATCTAAAAAATACAGGCAAAATAAAAATCGGCTTGAAAACCATATTTTACCAATAACCTCTAATAAGGAAAATAAGTGCTTGCCAGTTTCTGCGTTTTAGCTGGTGACACGAATGCAGTTTAGTTAGCGATGAGCAAATCACGGCAACGCACGCAGTCTGGCAGCGACCTAAAACATAAACAAAACATAGGTGTTGCCAGAATATCACAAACTATCGATGACAAAACATTCATCGTATGCAGTTACTTACCGAATTCGTAAAAGATTTCATCAAAATTTGCCGTATTAAGTAAGAATAGAGCCAGTCCTCACATAATTAAGAAAACAACAAAAATAATACGAAATTAAAATGAAAGACACTAGGGTAGGTAGTGGTATAGTTCTTACAGTTACATCACCACAAAAATTAGTTTGACCTTTGTGAACTATGAAGACAATTGAACTTCGTTTCATGTTTTTAATGTTGCTGCTGCCAATGACAACTGCAAATAATTACAACAACGGACCAATACAATTACAGCCATTCCCTCCATTGAAAAATGACAATTTGCTGCGTGCCGCACGTGGCGAAGTCGTGGATCGTGTCCCAGTTTGGGTGATGCGCCAAGCAGGACGCTATTTGCCCGAATTTCAGGAACTCCGCAAGCTACATGACTTTTTCACAGTTTGCCGTACTCCAGAGCTGGCCTGCGAGGTGACAATGCAGCCGCTGCGACGGTTCGATCTAGACGCGTCCATAATCTTCTCGGACATCTTGGTTATTCCTCAAGCACTAGGATTGACGGTGGAAATGCACGCCGGTGTAGGTCCTGTACTGCCCCAGCCCATTCGCACGCCTGAGGATCTGAAGCGACTGACTCCAGACGGTGCTTTGTCCCGCCTCAGCTATGTGGGCGATGCCATAACAATGATGCGCCACAAGCTGGATGGTCGCGTGCCTCTGATAGGCTTCACAGGCGCACCATGGACTCTCATGGGCTATATGATCGAAGGTGGCGGAAGCAAGACTATGTCTAAGGCAAAGGCTTGGCTATACGACTACCCGGAGGACTCGAAACTCTTGTTAAATCTGCTAACAGATGTCATAGTGGACTATCTAGAAATGCAGGTGGCAGCGGGCGCTCAAATGTTGCAGATCTTTGAATCGTCTGCCGAACATCTGACCAAGGAAGAATTTTTGGTCTGGTCGGTGCCCTTTCTGCGTCGAATACGCGACGACCTGGTAGATCGCTTAACCAAGAAAGCTGTGTCTACCGTGCCATTAGTAAGTACCTCTCCATAATTGCCCTTTTCTCTGATAACTTGATCGAATGTATTTCCAGACGATTTTTGCCAAGGGTGCTGGACATTCACTTAAAGAGCAAAGCGAACTCGGCTACGATGTCATTGGATTGGACTGGACAGTGGATCCGGTGGAGGCGCGTGCAGCAGTTGGACCTAATATAACACTGCAGGGCAATCTCGATCCGCAGGATATGTACCGTGATGCCAGTGAATTACATACGCTTGCCACCGATATGGTTCACAAATTTGGCAAATCACGCTACATAGCAAATTTAGGTCATGGCATAACGCCACAGACACCCATAGCTAGCATGGAGGTACTCGTCGATGCGGTGCATAAAGCATTGTAAAATATAATTACAATTGGCTTGCAATATTCGCATTGTTGTATTTACATATTAAATACCATTTTGCCTTGGGGTAGGGAAATAAATGTTAGTTACAAAAAAGGAGATATCGTTTTAAATTATGGATACTCTACGTTATCGTACTAATAAATGCTAAAGCTTGTTATCGATAGCTTTTAATCAATTGTAAATCGCGGGCTACCACTAACATTACAAAGTTTTTTATTCATACAAAGATCTTGATCCGTATTGCAGTTTTTTTGTATTCAGATGTTTAGTTTTTTTTTTTGCATTCAAGTACAATCGAATCCGAATGGCTAATTAAATTCGATACTTTGCATCTGCTGTTCCTGTATCAACTTATCATATATCATAAGTATACTGCCGCAGCATATTAGCACAGTTCCTATGATAATTTCTGAAATGACAAGGTATGTATCATAAATATAAATAAAATAGAATATATAAATTAGCAGTCACAACTTTTGCCAGGCAGTTGCTCGCCGATCAGATACCCAGTTATAGCTGTGAACGCGAAACTTAGTGAATTCGCCAGCGGTACAGCTATAGTAATATTAGCGCTTCGTAATGTCCACACATAGAGCAGACTTCCGCACTGATTAAGTCCAAATGGTATCCAATAATGTAGACGTGAGCCGATCATTCGAAGCTCGGCAAGAAAATTTTGATATCTGGAGCCCGTGTCCTTAACGTTCTCAATGCCTTGGCTTCCCAGCCGTATAAATGGATTCGTCACACCCCACAGCAGCCCGACAGTCAGCAGTTGCACTAAAATTAGTATTACGTTACAGATGATAAACAAAACAAAAATATATTTAATAATATTTACACGTAGTTAACAGCATTGTTTATGTACATCAGCTGTGCCGCCGGCTGTCATATTCCCAGGGTTGCTTGTAATACTTACCAACACTTTTCGCGCAGAGACGTTGTCAGCACTGGACAGCTGTCAGATTCTTTTACGTCAAGCTTTCATTTCCTATAGGTGGGTTTTTGCATATTACCCGGAATATAATCACAAAACATCGCAATTTACACCAATAATAATGCAATGAAATGTATGAAAATACTAACTGCACATAAAATGCTTTACGTGACTACCAAAATGTTGTGGTGTGCAAAGTGCTGTACGGGTTTTAAGGCCGATTGTAAATTGCTCTTGTTTTGATTGGAATACAAACAATTTAAATTTTAATATTTAATCAAAAACTGACTAATTGCTTCTCCTCAAACAGGATACTGAACAGCAATAGCAATGGCAAAGACCAAGGGCGAGAAACGCAAGAAGTCGGCGATCACCGAAGTTGTCACCCGTGAGTGCACCATTCACTTGGCCAAGCGTGTGCACAATATCGGCTTTAAGAAGCGTGCGCCGCGCGCCATCAAAGAGATCCGCAAGTTTGCCACGCGCGAGATGGGCACCAATGATGTTCGTATTGACACTCGCCTCAACAAGCACATCTGGTCCAAGGGTATCAGGTAAGTCCACACATACGATAAACACTCCCACCCTTAAATACTAATAATACTATATCATTGCTCCACAGATCGACGCCATTCCGCGTGCGTGTGCGTCTGGCACGTCGCCGCAATGACGATGAGGATTCTCCCAACAAATTGTACACACTGGTCACATATGTGCCCGTGCCCACATTCAAGAACCTGCAAACGGAGAACGTTGAGTCCAGCGACGATTAAGCTAAACAGCAACAATACACCCACAGCATTCAGTTTACGCCGCTATCAAAAATACGTTAATAAAAAGTAATTTTCATTTAGAAATAACTGAAGCTTCACATTTGTGTCTTGACGCCAACAGATTAAAAGCAAGAATTATTAATTAGGAAATGTGATACATTGGATATAGTGCTATTTCGTCGATGTATAAAATACCGCATTTGAAGCGAATCTGCGGCTAGCAGGGAATAGTAAATATTAATTGTTTGAATAGATTGTAGATGAAATAGTCATTTGCTTAGTCCTTCGCTATATAAAAGAGCATTGGCCATCAGTTTGTAATATAATCTGTTTTGTGCGCTCTACTTATAGTGTTAACATCCTTTAGTACCTCTGCTAAAAGGTCTTTATTTCCGTAGCGCCAATGTAGAAACAAACAAAGGGTTTCATCAACAGAATATTTCTTTTTACCACCAAAAACCTAAAAATCGCAAAGTAATAAATTGGTGTGATTTATCGAAACAGAATTTTAGTACATTCTTGAGGGCTAGTATATGATTTCACCCGCTCTGCAAATAATTGTTTAAAGCATTACAATTGTAGGCCAACCTGTCTGCTTCGGTTTGAATTACAATATGTTAAGTGTGGCAGGTGCCTTCAATGTGTTCGTAGAATGTAGAACTACCAATACTATATGTACTTGGGGAATATTTTATTTAACCCTTTTGGGTCTTAATCTGAATAGTCCAATGCTGCATATACGAACATTAAATATTGGTTTCATTGGTTTTTTCTTAATACTCACTTAACTTGGTTTTAACATGGAGTAATTATTTTTATGCTTTTTAACACCACAATGAATTTGTTAACTACGCTCTCTATCCATGTACAAACTGAGCGCGTAAAAAGCTGACTAACTATAGTAAAGCTAGCCACATACATACACATACATACATACATATATCTAGCTGTATCGATTGTATATTCTGTCGCTTGTATATTTTTGCGAAAGATTCAAACCAACATATTTGAAATAACGGTAGTTAGTATATTGAGGTAGTTAATATATTAACAATTTAGATTTCTTATATCATATAAATACACATAGGAAACAGGGGGCAAACAATATACATACATATGTACATTTATACACTTACATATATAACATTAATACATACAAAATAATTAATCTGGCATGAGACTAGAGCCTTATAAACTGTGGCCCAACTAAGTAGATGCCCTCGCTATTGGATAAAGCCAAAATCTGTTTATCCGCTAATTCCAAACGTTGCAGCGAGTTTGCTGCAGGCAGCGTGCTCTCGCCTAGAAGCTGCTGAAAGCCTGCCACGCCTTGATGCTGGTAAATTCGCAGCGTTTGTGTGGGCGAAGCATTGCTTAAACAGAGCAACAGATCCTTGGACTTTTGCAGATGCATGAGAAGTAGCTGACGCGGTGGCCCAGACTCCTCCAAGTCAAAGATTTGTGCTAGCTGGTAGTCCAGCGCATTACTGTCCTTACTATACATACACATATGGGAACGTAGATTAGTATTAGTTGCATCACATAAACTTGAAAGCTACTCGCCTGTATATGTAAATGGCGACTGCTGGGGCTGCAGTCAGCACGGCCAGGAAGCTACGATTCTCGTGCGTCGCCAGCGCCATTTGCTCGGCCTGCATCAGGGACAGTCGCTGCTGCAGCATGTAGTTGCCACCCGAGGTCCACTGCCAAAACTCCACAGAGTTGGCGACAAGCAGGGCCAGTACGTAGGCATTACTGTCCGCGGTTGGATCTATCAGCTGTTTCACTTGCCCAGTTGGAATCGTGGCTTGCCGGACGATAGTGCCGTCAATGCTATCATTGGCTGCACAATAGATTTCGAGTGCTGAAAGCTGGTTTCTTTGCACTGCTAAACAGTCTTGGAAATGCAGACGCAAGGGGCTTAGGAACAGGGCGTTGCTCTTGACAGTTGAAAAGCGATCGTTGTGAGCATTGGCAAATTTCTCATCGGGTTGCAATAGCTGCGCCAGGCCTGTAAAAACAAAACACAAAACAGACGCGTAAACATATATACATATGTATGTACATATGACGAAAGTATAAGCAATGTGGACGACGAAGGAATACCCTGCAAACTTAGATCAATATTTTATAAGAAATTAACTTATATAAAAACAGAAAAAAGAATAAAAAATAGTAATTGAATCCTATATTGAAATAAGAACCATATTTATAATTGAATAATAATGACAACAAAATTGATTTAAATCATTGCGAATTGAAAAGTAAATGAAATCGGGGAAGTATAAATAATCGGTGCAGTTATGTAAATATATATTGAATAAATTAATCTTTAATTTTTGTAAAACAAGTTTTCGAAAGGTTTGCTTTAAAATTTAGATGATGATGAGAAAACAAAAGTAAAATTAAAGATAATTCAATTATAGGCTGAATATACTGAAGATCATCAAATAAGCTCAGCATGGCGAATTGTCGACTAGTCTAATATCCCCCATTCGACATTTAACTAAAACGCAAAAGCACAACGAAACTGATAAGGCGAAAAAAGTGGTTTAGATTTGTTCTGGGACTCTTTAAAAGCCGCGGACTCACAACTGGACTTACATTCATCGAACTGCCTGCTGAGAACTCTAATAAAATAGAAACAAAGTAAATACTCATTGAGAAAATGCTGAGGATTTCTTGTTGGCTACTTTGCTGTGCAGCGCTAGCCACGCTAGGCCAGTCAACAAAGGTGGAGAGCACAGAGGCCAGCAGCAGCAGCAGCGCCAGCGCCACAGAGAGTCCCATCCCCAAGTCGACACAATTTCAAGATGTTAGCACGGAGGCTACGCCTACTGCTGCACCAACTACTACAACTACAGAACAGCCTCAGAGCAACGCAGCGAATGGATCGAATCTAACGCTGCCTATGGTGATAAACACATGGAAATTCCCAGAGGCCAATGCGTTGGCGTGGCGCATACTCAAGCAGTCGGAGGGAGGGCTGCGGCAGACACGGAACGCAGTCGTCGAGGGCTGCACCAAGTGCGAGCAGATCCAGTGTGACGGAACAGTCGGCTACGGCGGGTCGCCGGATGAACTGGGCGAAACCACCCTAGACGCCATGGTCATGGATGGGGCGACCATGGATGTAGGAGCTGTGGCTGGTTTGATAGGCGTCAGGGATGCCATTCGTGTGGCGAGATACGTGCTGGAGCGCACAACTCATACCATGTTGGTGGGACAAGGAGCGACGAATTTCGCCGTGGCCATGGGATTCCGCACTGATTCGCTTGTAACGCCCGAGTCCCGAGCCATGTGGCAGCAATGGAAAGCAGAGAATTGCCAACCAAATTTCTGGCAGCGGGTCAATCCGGATCCGAAGATCTCGTGTGGTCCTTACGCGCCCAAGGCAACGCCCCTGACTCGCTGGAAAGAGGATCGTGCTCGCACCGAGTACAAGATTGGCCAGCAGCATCATGATACCATCGGCATGGTGGCCATCGATGCCAATAACCAAATACACACAGGCACCTCCACCAACGGAGCCCGCAACAAAATTCCCGGTCGAGTAGGCGATTCACCCATTGCCGGTGCTGGCAGCTATGCGGACAATGAAGTGGGTGCAGCTGTGGCTACGGGCGATGGCGACATCATGATGCGCTTTCTGCCCACATTCGTGGCCGTGGAGGCGATGCGGGCTGGAAAAACACCCGGCGAGGCAGCCGTCGAAGCTGTCAAGCGAATCGTAAAGCATTACAAGGACTTTGCGGGCGCAGTCATTGCGGTAAACCGACTGGGACACTACGCAGCTGCCTGCTACGGCATGCCCGAGTTCCCCTTTGTCGTCAGCAGCCCGGCTGAAGCAACGACAGTGAAGACAGTTAAGTGCATGCCGTCTATGGTGGACATTGAAGTTGTGACACTGAAAAAAACATTGTAAAGCTGATTCTACCAATCAAATATACAAAATGAAAATAAATGCATTTTAATATGGAACGAAGAAGCAAGGAACAGTCTTTGAAAGTGTTGCAAAACGATGTAGAATCTTTTCGTTCGCCTTTCAAAATTATGCCAATCACACCCGCGCAAGGCTTCATATTGAATTTAACAGGAAATGCATACATATGTACATTGCGTAAAATATGGGAGGATAAAATCAAATCTTATATGATGATATATGATGCTAAAACACATTGTAAAATGAATAAAATTGGTTAATTATTGAACGCATACCTTCAATTAGTATAATGTAAAATTGAAACAGTACTCGCTAATAAAATCAAAATTTAATTGCAATTTTATGAAAATATAAAAATTATTTCTATAATGGTAAAAAATCGAATTCAGTTTTTTAATTTTTGAAATCAGTCATTATTTGCTTGATTTTAATCGTTTTGTTAGTTTGCGAGTGTTGCAAAATGCGCTTCTATTTTTGCATTCATTTTTGAATGTGTTGGAGCACATACACGTTCAGACAGTATGATATGTAGCCAACAACAGCATATCTTAATATACCGACTGAGACTGACACTTATTTACTCGAGAGTAAATAATTAAATGATAAACTGCGAAAAAAGTGAATATATATAACTTATTTGGAATACTGTACACGTATTTGTCTGACAGATGTTATGTTTGGTTAGCCATCTTGTTGTTGTTGTCTGAACGTGGCTAGACCCATTCGATTATTTTTCCGCCAAATCAGCGTCACAGCAGACGCCGCGCCGCATACGTGAAAAAGCGAAGTTGCAAAACGAAGCGAAAAGAGCGCAAACTCTAAGAAAGAGCGGCAGGGCCAAACATTAAGTGAAAAAGTGGTCATAAAAAACGCCGTCAAGATTAATAAAAACACGCAAAACGCAAGCCGCAAGTCGCTGACTAAAATGGCTATACAGCTGGACAAAATTCTGGCCGACATTGCCAAGGAAAAGGCACTGCATCCGAATAATACGAGTGCCACCAAACAGGAGCAGGACGATGCCTGGGCACGAATTGGGCGCCTCAACAAGCTCACTGTGCACGAGTCGCGCTCTATTTTTATAGTTCTGCAAAAGAAATATGAACAGGAGAAACTAAAAGGTAACTCTGGATGGAAATTATATGGACTAATGCAGAAAATCCATCAGGAGCCGAAGATCAAGACGGAAGAGTGAGTGGGCAAAATAATTGAGCTTAAATAATCATAAACTAACTATTTGCTTAACATTGCGTAGTGAACAATTGCCCATGGAGGAAGTGGAGGAATATGAAATGTTGGAGGTGCAGGAGCAGGAGGAAGATGATGAAGGGTCCTCCAATGCGACTCCACGACAATTTGGTCAGGCCACCAATTCCACAGGCTCGGCCAGCTTAGATGGCGACAGTCCGACGAAATCGAGTAGCACTGGCGGTGGCACTCCAGAAAAGGACGTTAAGCCGTATGCCAAACCAAACGTGGATACGCCGCGTCCAGCATTTGAGGAGAAGAAACTGCTCAATACAATGGCCAACAATCCGCAGCGCTCCAACTCACAATCCAATGCGGTTTCCGTGGCAGCCGCCGCACTTCAAAAGAAGGGGATAACTTTGAAAAAAACGCCGAGCAGCGCCTCCGCAGCTGGAAACAAGGCGGCGTCCGGAGCAGCCACACAGCAGTCGCAGTTGAACAGCAATAAATCAATGCCTTCTGTACGCACCACAATTCAACTGCCCGATTCAATGAAACGCAAGCTTTCGGACGAATGCTCCAATACGCCGGTGCAAAAGAAGCTACAAAGGAATCAGACTAGCCCCAAGAGCACCCATACGTCCGGAGGAGGAGGAGGGGTAGCGGCAGCAGCAGCCACAGCAACAGCAACAGCTTCGGCCGAGCCCACGACTCCAACGAGTGTGACGTCGAATGTGGTTCACACAACTACCGCTCAACTACTGCAGGTAAAGAAGGACCGCGAGAGCAATCAGTCACCACCTCCAGGCATTAACATTATAACCATACCTGCCTCACAGCAGATCAATGGGAATCTTGTTAGTGGTGGGGCGGCTAATTCCTCGACGGCGGCTACCATGGCGTCCACATCGGTGGCCAGCACCAACGGCTATTCGCCACATCTGGAGGAGCTCAATGAAATTATCTTTGATTCGGGCAAAGTGAATGCCAGCTCCCACAATACTGCTGAGATTATAAACTTAGGAAATTTCGACAATTCGCTGCCGCCGACATTCTTCAAGAATCTGTGCAACTCGACGCGCCACGAAGCCCTTGGCCTCTACGTGGCAAATGTGATGAATCGAATCTCACAGCGCGCCGCCGCCAAACTTGAGCTGGGCATTCTCCGAGCCATCGTGGACGTACAAAGCGACGAGCTAGAGCAGTAACCGGCAACAGACGAGATTCGCAGAAGGAGCCATCCCCTCCCCCCTTAGAAGTAGTCAAGTAGAGAACTGTTCGCGCAACAGATAATTCGACTTACGATTTTATTTAGTGGCGTTTACACGAGTTCTAGTTTACACGTGTCTGAGGCACTATTACCATTTGGGCAGCTCCTCAAATTTACTAACTATACGACAGCTAAAAACAGGAATATATTTAATGATTTCTGTGATATAGAACTGGCAGATGATATTTAATTTGTTTAGAATTTCGATTTTTTAACAAATACCCAAATCGAAGAGAAATATTATTTTATAATCTGTATGATGTCGAATACCTTGATATTTAATTTATTTATAAATTATTTGAAAATTATTGATTTTCATTGCATTTTATTATTATATATTTGAAATTATATAGTAGGCCAGTGCTCTCTGACTCGTGTAAACATAACAACTTGGTATAGAATATATCTCTGTATGCTCTAGGGCTAACGCTAATAATATTTAACTCTGAACTCGTGTAAATTAGGCTAAGTTTATGCAAAGTATTTAAAATTGTTCATTAGTATAAATATTTAACTATATACTATATATGTATGTATATAGTTTATACTATATTTTTACTATGGTATTGTATTTATATTCATATATACATTTTAGTGATTTTATGAACTGTATTTCGCTTTGCATAGACCTAGATAATGTCAGTCATCCATTATGCCCCTCCGTTCACCCCATCCAGTCGAAATTCATTCAAAAAATTTAGTTGATAAGTTCGTCAACCATTTCATAAATTAAATTATATGATAAATAAAGACGCATATAGCCGACTTACTTGCATTGTACATGAATTTCTGCTCCTCCGACTGCCAAGCATAGGCATTTAATTGTTCCATATCTTGGTACCTATGCCAAATGGCCAGCACTTCCGTGTTGCTGCTCGGCTCCTGCAGCAGCTCCAGACGGCTTGCATTGAGCGGTAGCTGTTGTAGCAAAGCGAAGCCTTCCAGCACAAAAGAAGGAGCTGTAGGGTGGAATATATCATAAATGATATATGATAGGCACATACATATGTCAATAGCTTACCTGTGAGGCGTTGCTGCACTGCAGCCACTTGTTCATTTAACTGGTGCCAGTTGTTCACAGCCTCTACTCCACGTTTCCATTTATTGTTTCCATCTAGCACATCCCCCAGCTCATAGTTGGCGACGCTCAGCGGCTGAGTGAATATCAGCTGGCTGGCTACATGCAAATTGGGACGATTGTGCGCCTTGTTCACCAGCAGTTCGTTCACATTCAGTCCATTGATGTTATCCACCCAGAGTTCTTCGATGTTGCTACTCAGGATGCGCTGTTGTTCCGGCAACGCATTCTTCACCAGCAGCGAGCCGCGTATATACTGCTCCCGATCACAGAGAAGCAATTGATCCGCTTGCCAGTGAACGCCATTCACTGGACCCACAACTCGCAGGTCGTTGTAGAGATTCAGGGTTTCCATAACCGTGGTGCCGGCAATGGTGTGATTACCATAGGTGTAAACCGTATTGTTGATCCATTTCGCAATCGGAACGTTAGCTACTGTGCTGCTGGGCGTGGCAAAGAGGCGTTTAATTGTTGCAATCTGTGCTCTTTTGGATGCATCTATTACAGTGACGCCCGGATTATCCTTGCGTAGAACGTCGTCGACGAAATTTAATTGATTAATACGCACATTATTTATATCTCCGCCAACTAGAGCTGCAGGCAGACGCCATTGTGTTGTAATGGTGTGTGGGCCAGAGGTTTTTAATGAATTTTCCACGAAATCCTCGAAATTTAATGGAACATTGCTATAATACAAAATACAATTATTTTTTAAAATTTAACCGAAAATATTAAGCGGCCAGTTTTAAATACGGCCACACAGGTCTTGTACAAATCAATGTGATTATCGATAGCTCGATATTTCTAGTAAGTGCCATCTTTTGTGTGGCATCCCTGGAAGTATCAGTTTATTGTTTTTCTTGGTGCGTAGTGTTGAGAGATTGAAAAGTGCTGCCTGCCCGTAGAAAGTGCATTTAATTTACTATTAACTCCAACAAAACACAAGGTAAAACCTAGATTGTACCTAAGGTAGTCGTAGTGTCTGTACTTTGTGGGCGATTGCAACGTGTACAGAAATTTCACCTGCAAACAGAAGCGCGCACAGCTGATTGTACCTTGTATGTGTGTGATAGTTGACGGGGAGGGAACATTTGTACGTGTGTATATGTGCAGAGTGCATGTCAAACCGCGTTAAGCGCGTAAACAAATGCAAGTGGAATTCGATGCCAATTACAGTTAAAGCCTTTAACAATCACTTACCCAATGCCCTCAACAAGTGCGCCATCTTTGACACGTAGCTGTACTTGCTTGACGGTCAGCGTTTCTGCAAAAGTGACGTCATGTTCGAAATTAAACGGCACATTTGGACGCTGACTGCGCGTACGGCTAAAGTAATTGCGTTTGATATGCTCCACATCCAAACCGTTTAGTGTGCCCTATTGCAATACAGTTAGTGTTTCACAACCATTTATGCATGCCAAATTTGTACAGCGACTCACCTCAAACTCCAGCAGCCCGTTAAAGCTGGCATTGGCCAGCTTCACAGCTTGCAGTTCCACAAACTCGTTGTCTAGCCAAAGCTCGTCGAGCAGTTGCTGCAACTGATGTCCGTTCAGTTTCTCATAGATCGGGGGCACTGCAAACTCTGCCTGCTCCACGTGCAACGTGTCCAGCTCGACCGTTGCCCCGCCTCCCAGATAATGCTTGAGTGCTTCTAGCTGGTAGTCATTTAGGCTGTTTACATTGCAGACCTGCTGCGGGGATAAAATCACCACATGACCTTTGACCTTGAATGGCGCCTGCAGCATGCCGCCACCTTGCGCATACAGCATATCCTCTGGCACGCGCAATCCATTCACACGCCCCACACTCAGCGACTGCTGCAGCACAATCGGATTCACTGCAAAATTGCATTACATTGAAATGGCATTTGCTTATTGGATTTATGATCAATGCAGCTATTTGATTTCCAATTTGACTAATACCTGCTGCAGAATTAAATTGTATTGAAAGTTGAATGGCTCCTAAAGCTTTAAGCTTTACACGGAATAAGTAAGAAGAGCTTTGCAGTGTTTGCTTTCTTATTAGACTCGTGCTGATTGCAGACGGTAATATTAGCGGATAGTATTCATTTACAAAAAAGAAGCAAGATAAAGCTTTAAGCTTGAGTCATAAGAAATATGAGAGTTTAAATCATTCTTTTACTAAGTAAATATTAATCAATGCAGACATATTACAGTTCAATAAACTCGGAATAAGACTACAACTTTCTGGGTAAGAGAAGAATGTTATCTGCTGATGGTTAGCTCATAAAGCGGTCCACTTTCGTAATTGACTAATGAATTTTATCGCTTTGACATTTTGGCTATTAACTGTGTTCTAAAAGTCGACGTATGTTTATCACCTTAGTTTTGTTCAACGAAAATAACTTGTTTAGCTGACTTTTACTGGCACTTGAGGCACATGAGCTTAATTGATATTGGTCAAGCTAAGTACGTTGACAGTTTGTGCATTATTTTAAGTGATGTTCCATGAAATTGTGAATTGTCAGTCTGCTTTTAATAAGCCATTTATAAATTAGTATAGTATAGTATAGTATATATAGTACAGTACAGTTGTACTCTGCTCAACCTTCTAAATATATAATTAGCTTAATATGGACTATGCAATATGGTTTATAAAAAGCTTTAATGTTCTCGGGACTCATTTCACGATTATGCAATGCAAATCGAGACTCAATTCATAATGAATATTGTGAACATAAATTCATGTCTAACTCAAATATTACTCAAGATATTTTTGATAAAATAATATGTCTCAAGTACACGTCCATGTCTGAGCCCTTTTTCAAAGAATTAACGATACTAATTTTATGATTATATCAAATATTGATGGATATACAATTTCGAACCGATCCATACCCAATCATGATCCAAAGTATCAGCAATGATTGTCTACTTACGAAATTTTACTGAGGGCAAGTGTTCCGTGCCATTCAACCTGTAGCTTCCTTTGATCAGTTGCTCCAGCGTGTAGTTGTTGAGGCGCCCCTTCAACTGCACATCCTTATCGCTGGCCAGAGACGCAAATGCTTGCGGGGCTGTGAACAGCTGCGGTCCGCTGCTCTCTAGCCAACAGTGGCCGAATCTTTGGGCGGATATACCGTTTAGAGTATCTCCAAAGGTGAGACCGCTCACGTTGACCGCATGGCGGAAGGTGAAATCGCCTACGTATTTGATATTGCCCGCCAGTTGCTGAAGCTGCTGTTCCACCTCTGCCACGGCGGCATTGTTTATGTGCCCCTTGAGCCACACGTTGCGTGCCTCGATCGTACCATTGAAGTGTTCTGGCAGCTGCCAGCTGTGCGGGCGCTGAGCGCCCTGCTTGTAGAGCTCCTCGAGAGTGTGGCCAAAGATCTGGCCATGCATGTGCAGCTGTTCGACCCTGAGATGCTCCACCTGCAGCCGATCCACATACAAACTGCTATTGGAGCGTTGCTCCTCGCCGTATTGCATATATGCAGGCAACTCCATTCCATTCAGCAGCAGCTTAGTGGCATTTAAGTGGGGCGCGTCCAAGCCGGCCAGCTGCATTGGATGCTTGAAGCTTTGGTTGCTGCTCTTCAACAGCAGCTTCTGCGGTAGCTGCTCCACATTGAAGCCGTTGACCAGATTGACCTCGCCAAAGCCGTTGCGTATGGTAAGGCTCTGGGGCAGCCGCTTGGCGCCCTCAATCACCTGCACCTGGTCCACATTCAGCTGTACCAGCTCCTGCACGTCCTGGGCATTGATGAAGCTCACCTGCGTATCATTGGCGTTCAGCGGCTGCTCAAAGCGCAGGTTCACATTCTCTAAGGGTTGATCCAGGTGCAGTGCCTGCTGCAGTATTCCAACTGCCGATCTCTGTGAGGATGCATCGCGCAGGTCCTGCATTTGCAGAAGTTGTCCAATTGTGACATCACCATCGATCACATAGTCGCCCTGCAGTTCGAGCGACTGATCCGAAACCTTCATTGGCGACATAGCACTCAGCTCGGCGCCCAGTAGCTGACCCTATAGAAGAGACTAAGGACTGCAAAGATCAACTTTCCAATATTGACGATCGAGGGCACTCACTGAAATAGTAATCGGCTCCAGCACACGAATATTCTCGAATCGCTTGGTGCCCTCAACCACCTGGGTGTGGTTCGCCTCGTGGAGCAGCACGTCGAAGCGCTGCCGATCTACGTGTATGTGATTGAGCCGTTGGTTGATGCTTAGCCGATTCACCTCGATAGGCTGTGCGAATTGTATGTCCTGCTGCACGACGTAGTCACCAGCATCGATGGACACCAGCTGGCCGAGTGGGCGCTCGTTGATCTCATTGCTGTTGACTCTGACTGCTTCGGCCTTCAGGTTGCTGATGTCGACGGCTGCCTTGATGAATTGGAGCTCGTTGCCGCGTCGCTTCAGCGTTTGATCCAGCAGCTGGGTCCAGTCGTGGCCATTCAGTTCACCCGACAGCAGCAGCTCCTGCAACGTCAATTGCTCCAATGCAGGCGTTGGTAGATCCATGGCCGCCTCCTTGTATTCCTCGCTCACATACACATTACCTGCGCTGACCGACTCGTAGATGGGTTTCTGTCTGTCCACCCCATTAATCCGCTCCGCCTGCAATGCCTCGTGCACAACCAGCGTACCCACTGTTATCTCATCGAACTCGTGCTGCTCCTTCGGCTGCTGCACTCCATCCCGCTTGACGGGATGATGCTGAGCCCGAGCTGCATCCAATTCGATAACGTCCAAGGCACGCTTTGCATAACGCAGAGCATCCCAGTAGTTTGCAGTCAGTTTCTGTTGCACATCGACAAACTGAAAGGCAATAAGAGGAATTATACAATATAATATAATTCGATCACTACTCTTATATAAGTATAATATGATGATCATGAAGATATTTCGCCCATTATAAAAGCATGTTATCTCTCCGTAAGTTTATACATAGACAACATTTATTCAATAGTGTACTAATTTTAATTTTATATGTTTTATACAATTATGTTTTACTGGCTCGTTATTATTAAAAAAAAAAAATAAATAAAAATAAAATAAAACAAGTAAAAAGGCTCCCGTCGAGATTGCTCGACTAGGAGATACCCTGAACCCTCCAAGCTGATATTCTTATC